TTCCGATTGTGAATACATGTGGCGTATGAGGAACAATTTTATGAAAAACTCAACTAATAATCATCGAAAAAAAATAATAAAAAATTTACCTTTCTATAAAAAAAAATATCTGAAAAAAATTGAGAATCTGTTACTAATGACGAATTAAACAAATAAGTTAGTACAAGAATTGAGAGATGAGAATGGAATTTGAAAAGAAGAATTTGACAATCACATCAGACTTTTTCTTTAAAGGAGACTGATAAAAAAAAATATCAAAAAGAGCACAATTTTTTCTATTGAAAACAGAAAACTAAATTAAATAATAACTAATTAGATTATTCTCACAATATTCTTGAATTAAATACTAATCAATAAATTGATCGACATAAGAAAATATGCTAAAAATTTGATGCCATGTGTATTTACATGAAAAGACTTTTGTTTCTCTTTTATGACGCTAGTTCACAAAACAATATGGCATAACTATAATAGGAATTAAATTAGAAATTATCCTCAACTCTAATCTAACAACCACTGTATCTTGATCAGTTTGACTCGATTCCAAGGCCTTCAATGTTGTACTTTACACTGAAAAAAACAAGTGTGTCAGAAAGTATACAATTCATTCAAAGTGGTGTGGTGTGCAGTTTAAGTGTACAAATCGGCACACTTTTCTTTCTTGAATGTAGAGTGAACGTGTGAATACTGTAAACTTGAAATAACCATTTTACATTTGAAGTTTAGATTTGAATACCAGATACTTGGTCAAATTTTTACATAGAATAGTCTGAAATTACGAAGCCGATATTTTCACAGAATAGGTACTCGGTCGAACAGAAAGCATAGCATGAACTCATTCAATCCAAATCGCAGGGGAGCACAAACGACCTAACAGAAAAAACAGAATACTCAATAAGATCAACGAAATGATAATAATAGTAACGATAAAAGAAACGATCGAACTGATCGAGTAATAGAACAGATTACAAGAGAACAATCCATCCATAACATGTCCGATGGGAAATTTGATATGCCTATTAGTGAATTTGATATTTCGTTGTCAATAAGTGTTGGATCACATGTATCCACAATACAAGAAGAAAATACACAAAAAGCTCAAAAAAGATTCAATCGAACGGAATTTCATGAGAAAAAATATCAAAATGTCAAACTAAAGACGATAGTTCATCATCGATTTGTTCAATCATATTATCTACATCTAACGTAGCAACGGTTTCATCAACGCTATCTAAAAGTTTTAAGTGAATACTTTACTGAAGTGAATGAAATAAAATTTTATTATAGTACAAAATACACTAGATATAAAATTATAATTTCATGAATAAACTGAAATAAGGTATTCACTTAATCGCTCAAAACCGATCCATCTAAAGGGAAGAACAAAAGCTTATTTTGAATTTTCTCTTGCTCTATTTAAGTGGCCAAGTACGTGATTATAATACATCACCAGCAATATCTATGCCATAAAAATTTCAATAATTATCGATTTTCTTTTTAGACACATGTTTTACTGTTGGGTGCGCGACATAATTGTGCATTTGTTTTTGTATTTAGTTTATGAAGTATGTCTAAGAAGACTAAAAATCGTTCAAAAAACTAAAAGAAACTTAAATTTTTTAAAGCTGTAATCGTCAGCTAAGACATTATATCACCATTATCGAGGCTTATCGCAAGATTGAACTTGCTGAAAAACATCTTCACATTGTTTGCTGTAAAACGTCTTTTACTAGCTTCTAACTAAGCTAATATTGTATTCGTAATCAACACCTAAATGTGGATATATTCATATTTTTAGAAAGTGCTTTTAGTTCTTTGGCGTCCCTACCATTTCTTCTATATTTTGAGCTAGATCAAAATATCAACTGTTTTTTCAGTTGATTTTCTGAATTATAGTATTTGAATGATTATTTGTGCCTTCTTAGCACGCTACAGAATGAAGGATACTTCATACCACATATTTTATGAAAGATTTACGTGTGTATCGACAGATTATCGGTATATTATCTTGCCTCTTAACTGTCCTCTAGCACAATAAGTGTAGTCTCAGTTATATTATTTGTTGCATATATATTTAGATTGAATATTTTTAGATAAAGAAATTAAGGCTCATGTTGTAGTCAAAACTGGAATTCAGTAAAATGTTAGATGTGCCTAGCAAAAACTGAGATATAACCAGTCAAAAAGTGGCATATCAATTAAAAATGAGTCTAAATATACTATTATCACGCTCTTGGTTTCTCGGCTGTAGACTACAGATGTATTTCAGCGTAGGATGATTTTTTTAATATTCTGTAGCTTATGGCCGATACTTATCTACCTAACCGCGTAAAGGTGTCATACTAAGTAGTACTGTTTTTTGGAAGATTTTGTTTTTTGTTTTCCATATCTCTTCATTAGTTGATATGTACAAAACATTGATCAACCTTAAATGGAACAAATAAATAACAATAGCAAAATGAAAATAAAGCCATGTACAGTATTTGAGCAGAGTTCTGTCTTAAAAAAAGTGGTTTTTTGATTTTTATCCCTAATAAAACAAACTGCATACAATTTATTTAAAAATAAATTATGTCATAACTTTTAATTTGTCCCATAAAAATTATTTTTTGCAGAATTTTTAATTCATTTTTTAATTTAGAACCATTTTTAATTATAAAATTAAAAACAAAAGAGGAAGGTGTGATGGTGCAAATTTTGGATGTTGTAGATGTTATGGTGGTGAACGGCAATTTAGACTTTTAGACTTTCTTCTAGAAAACTAGCCGGAGCCGAAGGGGACGAGGGCGGCAGTATGAGAGTGATTCACCACACAAGAAGTTCAAGTCGAGCAACGGCAATGGATGTTATAGGATAGTTAGCAGATCCTAAAAGTCTAAAACTTCTAAATCGTCGATCACTACCATAACATCTACGACATCCAAAGGCGCTCAACTTGAACTTCTTGTATGGTGACTCACTCTCATACTGCCACCCCCGCCCCCTTCGGCTAGTTTTCTAGAAGAAAGTCTAAAAGTCTAAAAAGTCTAAATTGCCGTTCACCACCATAATATCTACAACATCCAAAATTTGCACCATCACACCTTGATATAAATTCTTTACTATAAGCAACTAACTGATAAACAGTAATGATGTTATCTGATTATTTTATTCGTATTATGACATAATTCATTTATTGTTACCAACAATAGATCTAAAGATCTTCCAAAGTACTTTACACTATTGTTAGCGAACATGACATGAACAACTAGAGTCTTGTTATTCTTCCATGCTACAGCCCTAATTTGTTTTACAATTCATTCTTTTATCATAGATTTGAGTACACATTCGGAAACTTTTTAATAGAATACTGAGTGATTTGAACACGGAACAACGACAAATCAAGTTGTTCAGCTCATGAAAAAATTGTTCTACTACGTGATAGTTTCCTCTTTTGTCTTTTCAACTATTCTTATTTAATATGGTATATGAAAGTTGTAGGTCTTGCATATTATAGTTTCAATCCGGTCGGCATTCATGTGGCAAAAATCTTGGACAAAAAATTTGTTTATTAAGTAAATTTTATTCTAAAATCCTAAAGAGCTTTTAGGGCAATGAGCTTCTGACGTTTTCCGAGCGTTCAAATTTCCTGAAATTTTGTGCATACGTTCTTCTATGTCCAATTCGCATGTAGTTCATGCAACTTTATGCAATCTTTTCTCTAAATTGAAATATACATTTCAAAAAATCTAACAATTTTTCACATAATTCTACCTTCATTTCTATTTTCTGAATCAATTTTCTCATAGAACCAATAACATATTTGGAATCAGTGCGTCGAGTTGCATCGAACCATGTCAGACGCTATTAAATTGAGTAGAAAATTTAACTCTTAGTGTCATGTATTTCTTCGAAACAGAATTTAATTTACGTTTTTTTTCAAAAAACTTAACTAGTGAGTCGTAATAAGTCATATTAGAGATGAAACAAGAGACTCTTGAGAAAAACAATTAGTATCCGCTCCGTAAGTCCAGTATGCCTACTATATGGTACAGTTGCTAAGAAATGATCATACTTTTGAGATGAATTGCAATACCCTAATTTTCCAGATTGAAAACGTACTTGAACTATCAGACTGTTTTTTGCTTTGTCTAAATTATATAGAAGTCAAAGGTATCCATAATATCGTCGTTTACTATGAGACAGAATATATGCTGGATGATCGATCATTTTTTACACTATTTTAATACTATTCAGTTTCAACTGGTTTTGTTGTGAGCATGTACTAACATATGGTTCAATTTGAACATTGAAGTGACACTAATGATTTCGATGTTGTCACTATCACATAGAAAAACGAAATATAGAACGATCAATTGCTACTAATTACACCAGTTTCTTTCCATGAAAACTTTGAATCATTATTTACAAAAATCAAAAAATTAGTTTGATTACATGTCGTGAATTAATGATAATAAATCTAATTTAGAGGAAAGTTACATCGAACATCAATATCATTAATAAGATATAAATAGGAATGGAATCCACTAAGTTTGTTAATTAGACACGAGAGACAATTTATGTTGAACAAAAAGATATTGTCTTTTGGTTCGTATTTTTATCGATCAGGACGTTTAAAATACATAGTATCGTAATCATATAGATGTCTTTTTTATATAAATAAAAGCTGATGTTTGAATAATTGAAAACATGTTGAGAAAATACAAATAATATAAATGATACTACGGATAATTGAAATACACATAACGCATAAATTTTCTTCCCTACTTACTAAATGATTTAAATTTTCCACTTCAACACTAATATCCGTAAAAACAGTATATGTTTAAAATTCAACATTTAATAATCTGACATAGTATCTAGACACAAAAATCTCTCATTCTTTACAATATATACACATAATAAAACACAAAATCAAAAGATAAAGAAAAAAATATAGACTAATAATATAAAAGAGAAAACAAAAGTAGTTTGATATCCCACCATTATGCCTTGAGCAGTTAATCTTTTCCTTCTTCAGTTGGTTTTCTTGTTATTGAAGACTTATCAACGTTTTCATGCCCTTCTCGAGGAATTAATTCCTAAATAAACATAAATCCAAACTAATAGTTAAGAATGAGGAATTCAAAGTAAACAGGCAGTTTAAGGCTCGAATAGAGACCTTCTTCGAAAAAATATGTTTTCTTTACTAGAGTAATGAATAATTATATCATTTCGAAATTTTGAACAGTAGCAAGAGACTCTTCGTATTTTCAGCAACAGACTTAATTATTTTAATTGAAAATACAAAACTAGGACTTACCAATACAATTTGATTCAAATATTGACATTGCTCAGCGATACCTCGTAGTTGTTCATTTTCTTTATTCAATTCATTAATCAATTCATGAAGCTAAATAGAGTAAAGACTAATAAATAAAATACTCCTTCTTTTGTCATATCTCAATTTACCTGTGCATTTTCATTTTGTGTTTCTTCAATAGCTAATCGTCTTTTTTCGGCCACTATTTTCCAGTAAGATTCTGGAGCAACAGCTAAACAATAACAACAACTAGTAATCAAATCACGTTGATGAGAAAAAATATTCTCTACAGAATTATATACGCAAGTATATTGTTCGAATTGTCTATCAGATTAATCTAATTTTTTGTCTATCTACCCAGCATTTCTCTTGCTGACGTAAAAATTTGTTGAAAACATAAAACGATCACTACTTATATAAAAGTACGTCTTCTAGTACCAAATCGAATTTATCCTAGTTTTAAAACTAAGTGTTTCTCTTTCTGTACCTGCAACACACATATCGAACAACTGTTCATTCATATTCATCCCATCGTTAACAATTTCAGTCATTGTTTGTTTATCTTCAGTTTGAACGAACGGAATTGTGACATCTGTTGAAACACCAATTGATACCTGAGTTTGATGAGTTGGCTGCTGCTTTGCTAAACGATACGGCGATGAACGGTATGGAGATAATCGAGAACATAGATAATTCTCCTAAATAAACAAAATCAGTCCGTTTACAATGAGAGTATAAGAAACAATGATAACGCATACATTTTTCGTTGCTTTCAATGGTGATAGCAGCAAATTAGCATTACGCTGCCGATCAAATGTGTTTACAGGTAAATCACCTAAAGGTGTTTTAGACATCTAAAAGACAACAGAAATCCCTTACAGAGTAGCGACAAAAAAGATTTTCTTCTCAGCTTCAGATGAAAAAAGTGTTCACTATGCACGTTCCGAAGAGAAAAATGTATTCTCATGTGGATTATCTGGTACTATAGAAGGAAACAAAAACCAGATAACTGGCTGCCGCTCTCAGATGAAAGCAACCATCGTACTTCCTTCTTCTAGTGTCTACAATTCTCTTTTGTCATATGGAATTTAGTGGAAACAGTGAGCAGAAACAAGAATTAAAGCTAAGCTGCACTTGCATCTTTACGAACAAACAAACAAACAAACAAACAAAGAAAGTTAGATGCAGAGACGATAAGAAGACGCCTGAAATTTTGTCACCCCCCACTTATTGTTGTTTCGTTCAATGAAACACATAAAACAAAGAGATCAATGCGTGAAAAAAAATAACTATTATATCGCTTAAAAAGGAAAACGTATTAGAAGTTCTATTTTTCTTGTCTAGGTTAAGACAAGAGAAAGTGAGGTACTACAATTAATTTCTAAATACCTCCATTGAATTTTGCGAATTAAAAGCAGAGAAAAAATTGTGAACGCTTTGTTTGTTCGTAAAACCACGATCGTACTAGTACTTTTCCGGACAACACTATAACTGGAGGCAACAGAAAAAACGTATGTATATCTTTCCTGAGGTAAAGTCACATTAAATATATATTAAACATTTCCGTGGCATTACTTTTCATTAATTAAAGGTAATAATGGATGGAACTAGCGTTACATCTTTTTCGTTGGATGCAACGTTTTTCCAGTTGCATTCTCCGCAAGAAAATAACTTAGCAGGGCACATTGTTACTAGTGTTTTTAATGATTAGTGGGTCTCGCTTGAGCAAAATGGGTTTCCATTTTGATAATCCGATTTCCACTTTGTTTTTAGCAGGGAAAATATGGAAAATGCAGTAATAAACTGTGGAAACCCACCTTGCTTAAAATTCCTATTAAAAACACTGATTGTTACCGTTGGCTGTGGTGCTTTTTCTATTACGTTTTGCAGCAGAGGAGTGCTACTATTATGAGAGAAAGAGATAATCACTGTTTGTTGGCTGAGCACTACATTCTGTTTCCCATAAGCGTTCTACAGAAGCAGCAAAACCTATTTATACAGGCAACAATGGGCCAATTTTCGTTGTTGAGTTTTATCCTGATGTCATGTCAAAGACGTTTAATACTAGCAGCGTTCAAGTCAACAGAGAAAATCTGACACTGCAAGAATACATTTGCAGATTGCAAGATATACATTGCATTTTTACTTTAAAATTTCCCACAGATATTTTGTCTTTTTTTACAGTGAATATAAACATATAACATAATGTGACTAATTTGAGTTAATCCTTTGTTGCTCTACTATCTCATTGAACTAATCAAAGTTTGTTTTATGCCCCTGAGAAATTATTGCAAACCAAATCATTTCGCACATAAAAAAGACAATTGAGTTTTACCTCATTAATTTCTTTCATTTTTAAAATTAGATCTTACTTTTTAGTGGTTATAAGCTTTCCTGTTATTTATTATAAATTTTCTTCGTAGATGACGCTGTTTGTGGGAAACTTATAGAAGCATTTGATTGATGAATTCCTCAATCAGTTCTTTACTCTTTTTAGAAACTGCAGTTCATCGGCAATATTTATCACATGAGAATTAAGAATAGGAAAATCGAAAAGAAACGAACGCTCGAATCCGTTGGTGATGAAAAAGTCGTGAGTTTGAGCGATTTTATCGCGATAAAATGTCACAATTAATCGGCATGACAAATCGTGATTAAATCGTCGATTTTCGCGCGATTTTCATCACATAGGAAGAAATTGAAAAAATGCACTCTCAATTTAAAAATTCCATTGATTTGGTCTTGAACTGAATTAAACCAGAGTTCGTATCGGCTTATTTTCTAGCGCCGCACAGTTTATAAACTTTAGTTTAGGCAGAGAGCCTAATATAATTCATTATTAAAAAATTTAATCATTACACGATCCGATATATCTGGATAATGTCGATTCAATTTTCTGATTAATACTATGTTATGCCACTCGATATAGCTGCTTAAAAGAACCTTCATCGATTTGCTCACTATCTAGTTGAATATCGAATTAGCAATAGACGCTTATCTTATCAAAAAACAAAAGTCTAAATATCACGCTATGAAGACACTATTGGAAAAAAAAGTTTTTTCGATTTTCGTTGAAGTTCTACCACATTCTACAATATGACTATAATCTATTTCAGCTGTATTAAATTCTATTGAAAATTATTTTAAAATGTTGGCGAAAGAGAAGGGAAGGAGTAGGTCTGTGACAGTAGGCGGTTCTCGTTCTTTGAACGGGAACTGCTTTTCAGTTGCCGTTCAAGAAACGGGAACGGTTTTTCAGTTTCCGTTCTGAACTAGAAACGGTTCAGTAGTTGACGTTTCTAGAAACGAGGAACGGTTCGGCAGTTCGCGTTTCTAGGAACTTGGAACGGTTCACCAGTTCTGGTTTCGCGAACGGGAACTACAGTTCTTTTTGAACTGGAAACTGCTCAGTGTCCTTTTGTGATTTGTTGATATATTATGTATTTCATTTCGCAAACATAAGATGTTGAACTGGACTACAGCTCTTTTTGAACTGGAAAGCGTATGAAATATTTGAGCTTCTTTTTCTAATCTGTTATCGTTCAATCTCCTTTAGCACGTTAGTGCATTTTATGGTTCAATATGAATACGACGGTTTATTTGCAGTATATTAAGCAGTATATCAAGAGCTTAAGAAGTAACGAACTAAATTCAATCAGCAAAGTCTACCACCTAATCTGAGAGTCTTTTTGAGCATATCTCATTTCAACGCTCACTCTTTCAAAATCCTATGTTTGCGAAATGAAATACATAATATATCAACAAATCACAAAAGGACACTGAGCAGTTTCCAGTTCAAAAAGAACTGTAGTTCCCGTTCGCGAAGCCAGAACTGGTGAACCGTTCCAAGTTCCTAGAAACGCGAACTGCCGAACCGTTCCTCGTTTCTAGAAACGTCAACTACTGAACCGTTCCTAGTTCAGAACGGAAACTGAAAAATCGTTCCCGTTTCTTGAACGGCAACTGAAAAACAGTCCCCGTTATCGAGAAACTGCAGTACAAGGAACTATGAACTGTCACAGGCCTAGGAAGGAGAGATATAAATTTTTACTCGCTGCTGAACATGACTTTTTTTAGTGTAGATTTTACCAGTCATAACATACTTTAGTTGCAGTTTTGCTTTTTAATCTTTCGAGAACTTTACGGAGGAAACCAATGCCAGACGACATCGGGAAATTTTTTAACAGGGTCACGACCCAAAATTTTTTGCGTATAAGGCAATCGACTATGAAGAGCTCGGATCCGCGATCTGTTTCAACCGAACAAGTATTTAAAATTTCTGAGGTCAAGCCGAACAAGTATAATATAATAATTTGTGATGTCCAATATTTTAATTGGTATGATTATTTACCTTTTAATAATTCCGTTCCGTTTAACTGGCATCAAAATTTTAAACAATACCTATTTATATGAGATATTTTCTATTAGAAAGACGAGTTTAAGCTTTGAGGTATTAGGTAATAATAACTTTCATGTAAGGAACACCCTCGACAGCGAGAAAATTACTTTTTATTTAATAAAAATGTCAAGAAAGATACATGATATATCAAATGGTGTTCGTAAAATAATTTTTCGCTCTTTATCTATAATTGTTTTCAAAATTCGAGCAAAAAAGAAGCAAAATACATTCTGCAGGTGTTACAAAAAGTTTCTTTTCAGATCATGAGTTAGAAATGTCAAGATGATTTTAAATGAAATTAAAAACACCATCTCATCGAATGTACTTATAATTGGTTTCTTTTTACTATTTTAAGGAGTAGATTTTGTTTCTTTTAGATTTTTTAAATGTTTTATCACATTTAAAAGTTAAATGATACTGTCCAAAAGAAATTTTAAAGCATATGCGACTGTAACATCCTTAACTTTATTCAACGTAATTAGAGTTTATTAAGGTTTGTTCAAAATACAAATTTTCGATCGATGTGTACGGTCATAAATTGTTTGTTAAAGAATCATTGGTCATCATAAACTCAACAGCAACGATCGTTCTGTGCCATTGTATGTATATTCCAAAGGGATAAAATCAAAATTGTGGGACAGAAAAAAGATAACAAGGAAGAGATATCCACAAGGTAATCGACTATGAAGAACTCGGATCCGCAATCTGTTTCAGCCGCACAGGTATTAGAAGGAAGGAACCAAAAAAGCCTTTTTTTTTAAAAACTTAACGCTGCGCCATGTTTAAGTCGGTGGTCCAACCGGTATTTTTCTGATGCGCGTACAAATATCGAGCGAAAGAAAGAATTGGACAGAACATTTTCTACGCCGGAAAAAAGAAGACAAAAATTCTGACGAAGAGCAGAGAGTTTTAGTCGATCTCTGCACTTCTAATCCAAATCGATGATCGTTTCATATATATTCTTATTTCAGCTAGCTACCTGACCGATTTCACCGAGAACGACTCTTAACACTCAGGTCCTATTATTTCACATTTTTTTTTCACAAACAAAGTACACGTGTACACACGTTTGTTCCGCTAAGAGAATATTAGAACATATCTTAACAAGACGATTAGATAAAATGTAGTACACTCTAATGTTTATTTTAAAAATATAATTAGTCAATACTGTGTTAAATTCTTCAGTGAGAATGACAAATCACAATCGTATAAATAAAACCGACCCATTAGAGATCTTCTGAGCACAATTGAGATTGATGAACGGATAATTTGTCAACGATTTTTTCAATATCTCTTAATTTTAAATATAAGAATATGTGACTGCATATTGCCATAATGGAACTAAAATATAACAGCGTACGTATCAATCGAAATATTTCATAAGTGTTAACTGACCTGATTAGAAAAATCAAAATTAAAAGTCTTTTTTTAGAAAACAATTTCACATTGAAAGGTATGAGACATTGTTTCTCATTTTGGTCAATAAAAACTAATAAAAAAAATTACAAATAAGTCTAATACTAAAAGAGTAAAAACTTGCTTATGTCTAAAGACCTTCATCTTGTGGAAATATAAACGAGTTCAAATCTGACGATGTTTTCAACTCTAACGTATAAGCCAATTCATTCTGTTGTATCTCGTTGTAATTGCTAACAGATTGTGAATGTTGAACACCTAAACCACGTGCAGTCAAGATAAAATCCATAATATGTAAAAACTGCGCATAAGAAAAGATGTATCTAGGTAGACAGCTTTGAAAGATTTTCTGGAAAGGTAAATTTACAGAACTCCGAAAACTCTTCACAGATCTTCATGATATGTCTATTGAATACGTCAGTTTTACATATATGTGTAATTTTTAAGTACATTGATTTTGATTTAGCTTTTAAGCAGAAAAACTAGATAGGTTTACAAAGTAGAGAGTGAGGAATTTAGCGGTTCTGACAATATTTAACCAATTATTTGGTTATTTTCAGTTTTAATTATGTCAACTTTTTAAAAATTTTAGTTGATTTTACTATATTCTGAAATTTTTGTTTAAGAATGGTTTCAGCACAATTAAATGAAGTATTGGTTGATTGATTACACGATTGTATTTAATGGGGTGTTTTCGTTAGAGTGTATTGCTCCGATATCGTTGTTCACACAAACTTTAGCGGAAACGGGCTTTCCTTAGAATCAAAGAATATATGGATAGTTCTTTAAACCACCCATATATTCTGTAATTCTCAGTAGAGTCAGTTTTCACTGAAATTTGAAGGAACAAAAGTATAGTACCACTACATTATAAGAGTAGGGCTCCATAAGATATCATTGCTCAAGAAACTAACAGTTCATAATCGATATTCTTCTAGGTAACTTGATTCACTCTACTCAACCATTAGGAAATGAAACAAAGCAAAACTCTCCTACATTTTTGAATTGTCGGCACGTTACCTTTTATCTGCTCTTGTTCAAACATACTGATTCGCATCTCTAAAACAATAATGTTTAAACATTTAAAAAATGTCATTGTACAGTTAGATTTGCCGTATTTAAATTGTGACGCGTCGGAGGACATACTAGAAATGCCGTGGACTCAGACACTTTTGTAAATACCATGCACATGGGATACACCTGAGAATGTATCATGCTAGTTAAGAATAAGACAAATTGAATACTGTCTGAATATTTGTTGTGTTCTATGATACATCTCTAATTGGAATATGCGCTGTTTTCTTTGCGACAATACATCTATATAATAAACTAAAACTTTTAGTTAGGAAATCGAAAATTTTCTTTATAGAATTCGCTGTGGTTCGATCCTTAAAATCGGTCATTGGTGACTGGGATGTAACATAATCGATCCGGTAGAGCTCAACCTTAGCTCAACTGAATCGTAAGATGAAGTTGAGTTGCAAATCTCGTTCACTTACCCAAATCGCTAAATCCTAATCTTAATAATCCAGCTAATGCATTCTTTTCGATGACACCTTAACGAGAAATTCAATAATTATTAGAAAAGATAACACTGACTGTATTTTTACTTTGTATTAATTGTATAACATTTTTTCTATATTGAACTTCGGCTGTAATTCTTAGACTGGATTGATTGTGTGCTATTTGTATCAGACAGTAACGAATGATAAAATATTGTTCGCCAAATCTAAAACCATTACAGTACATCTTTGAATCAATTATATAATAAGAATTTTTTCGTTCTGTTTTGATCATCTAAAAATTGAAAGAGCTTAATTTACTAATTCAAAAGTTTTGTTAAATATCTACTTGTTTTTCTTTGCATAATATAGTCTTCTTTTCTAGTTTCGAGTCAAACGAAACATTAAATGTCACATAACGTTCTCGTTTATTAGTAACCCCATGCATTATCCATGCTGTTGTTTCCAAATCTATATAATACAAAAAATTGTGTTCAAAGTAGAAAGGCATATTTTATTTTCTGCAAAAATATATTTACCGGACACTTTTTGCTCACGATAAAACTCCAAGATATGTCTATTTTTGGTAAATAAAAACTCAAATAATTGTTCAATAGACAGTTGATAAGTTTGTTTTACTAATTGTTTATTGAAATGTTTTTCGCATGGACAGTCCGTCAAGTAAACATTATTAGTTAAAAATGATGAAGCTTTTTGTTCTAATTGTGCATCATCATCATCACCTTGTTCCGCACCAAAACTTCCACTAGAATGATTTCTTGCTGGTTGTTTGCTATCAAATGAAATACTTTTGCATAACTAAAATCATGAAGAAATATATCAATAATTTTTGAATATTCTTAAAAACTAGCGCTTTGTAGTATCTTATAGTATATAAAGGTCAGATATTTTTGAAAAACTTTCGGGTTATTTCGCTATATTATCTCCGACTCTTCTAAGATGGGCAGGATCCAGTTGTCTGGAACTAAGAAGAACCATCACACACGTTGAGACATTGTCAGTTTTAAAATGAAAAATAGCTTACAAACTATTGGCAAGTACTTAAAATAATAGTTTTTGTAATCAACTGACGAGGGAAGGTACCTGGCTGATACCCTTCCGATTTCGATGATTTTTGCCGATAGATACTATATGATGTCCTAGTTTCAATCTCCAAAGGATTTGGTTGTATAGCTCTTCTTTCAAAAGTTATGGATTTTTTAAGATTGACTACTGAAGATTCTAATTCATCATTGTTTACTTTCCAAAACTCGTCCACATGTGTGTTGATCAGTCAAAATCTTTTTAAACACCTACTCATATAGCGAAAAGTGTTCTCTTCAAAATGAGACGTCGCTGAGCTCTGTCCGATATCCCTATCAAAAGTCATAAGCATTTTTTTAAGAACACCTAAAACTCTGTTTTTCTCCTTTTTTTTCATTCCTCTACATCGATTTTTGTCTTGTAGTATTGCGTAATTCCAAGAAAAAAAAGAAAAAAAAGTTTCAGAGAAATGAAGAAAAATCTTGTTAACTTTTCGGAAGCGTTTTATTTTCCTCAGAGACAAAAACAAAGATTGAAAATCGGATTCTGTTATGCCCTAGAAAAAAGTGTTGACTGCATTTCAAGGCCATAGGTGTTTAAAAAGATTTTGACTGATCAACACACATGTGGACGAGTTTTGGAAAGTAAACAATGATGAATTAGAATCTTCAGTAGTCAATCTTAAAAAATCCATAACTTTTGAAAGAAGAGCTATACAACCAAATCCTTTGGAGATTGAAACTAGGAACATCATATAGTATCTATCGGCAAAAGATCATCGAAATCGGAAGGGTATCAGCCAGAGATGTTCCCTCGTGAGTATTTTTTAATACCAGAACACTTCAAGATAGTCACCTGAGTACTAATTTGATTGATCAATAAATACTTGTGAGTAGCAAATTACTCATAAATTTCAGGAGTACTTAATTTCAAATATGAGCGCTTATTTAAGTACCAACGTTTGAGTACAATCACTGGGATATCATTTATTCAAGATTAAATTCTCCCTAGCTTCTTACGCTCCACAAATTTCTTTTCTTTTCCTTAAACAGGTAGTAGGGGTTATAAGCCTAACACTACACTACTGTTAACGAATTGTCGACATTTTCTAATCTGTTTAATAAAGGAATAGAACAACAACAATCACTAGGGTAGCTACCTGTGAGATCATTTTAAAAGCCTACATTGGAAAAAGCTTTTGAAATTTATTTTTACAAAAGAAATGGCTGTTTTTGGCTATGGAACTAGGGGTGGCACATTACTATTACTTTTACGAGTAATCCAAATATTGTAAATATTTCTATTACCAGTAACAGTCATACTTTCCAGTTTAGAATATTTAGTAAAAATTTTTGACTTTAATAATGGCCATAATAGATTGAAATATTGTTACAATATAATAACTATGTTGCTGTAAGTATGACTGTTACTGGTAATAGAAATATTTACAATATTTGGATTACTCGTAAAAGTAACAGTAATGTGCCACCCCTATATGGAACATAACATCGGAATAAAAAAATACAGTTGGTTTTGAGATAAAAGGGCTGTTTCGTATTCAGCTCACTTGATGACCCAGAATATTTTCTATTTTTGGTGAGAGGTACTTCCAAAGGTTTAGGAAAATTTTGAAACAAAATGGGACAAAAAATTTCCATCGGAAAATAATATTAGTTTGAAACTTTTTCCTAAACTTTTGGAAGCTACCTCTCGCCAAAAACAGAAAATCTGCTAGATTATCGAGTGTGCTGAATACGAAAAGCACTTTGCAGCAACTCAAAACTAACTTTATATTGTTTGTTCCGGCGATATTTTCGGTAAGCAGCTTCGATCTTCGATGCTGTATATTCTGTGCTTCGATAAAGTAACTGGCATTTCAGATACTTAACTGGTCAGTTCGCCAAAAAAATAACGGATAAGAATTCCTGCCTTGTGTTTTGCCATACTGGTGGCCGATCATCATTTGGGTAGCCGGTTTGTTTAGCTCAGTTGCTTAAATGGTTCTCAGAGTCGTAAAACTGTTTGATCAACCTATTAGTGAAATCTCGAATTTACAGTGCGACTTATTAATATAGAAGGATTTTATTTGTTTCCAGTAAAGATGTTCGTAGTATGTTACCCCCATTCTTCGTTTTGTTAACGTTGCTGCCATTGTTTAACAAGTTTGTGAATTAAATTGTATGTAAAATTATAGTCAACTTTTTTATTAGTAAGTAATGAAATATGATGTCCGCATGGAAAAAAACTATTCAAATGTTTCAAGTATATTCCTTCTACGCGCATTTGTCGTTAAGTATAATTTTTAAAGAAGAAAAAATAATCAAGTAAAAAGAGATATTTTTGCGTGGATAATTTTCTGTAGAAAAAAAGAAAAGTAGTTCTTTTCATTATTGAATAACTCAGGAAAAACAGATGCCATTAACACTAGAAGAGATACATTGATGTCTTCAATGTGTTTTACACAAACAAGTGGCACCATAAAGATGAAATGAAATATACAACAAACTTTTCACACTATAAACAGTATTGTAAATCTGACTAGAATATTTAAATATTGGATCCGTCAATTCTGTATTACTTGAACATTGTATTAAAAAGGGATGAAACTCGAAAATAGGTTACCTGATGAAAATTTGATAATGTCAGTAAGCTGACCTTTGGTTTTGTTTGTTTTAGTTATTAATGTTCATAGTAATGGTTCGCACGGGCCGGAAATTCCAGGACGGCTGACCGCTCTTTGAGATATACTCATTCTGGAAGAATCACATGTATATTTGTTAGAAAACTAGATGCAAGATAGCACTTTATAAAGTGCTACTAATTAGATTAGATTGCTTCTTCTGTACGTTATCCAAAAAAATCTGAAAAGTACTAGGACTCTAACGGTCATTCCCCATGCAACACTTCGCTGCTGTATTTGTTTTACCCAAATTCTCTATACACTAGCTTCACAGTATGACTGAGTGATTTGCGGATAATTGACCGCAACTTTTTTTAACTCTAGGTAGCGTTATTTTAATCGTGGTTAAGAAGAGCAAATGAATATTCGAAGTGCACCAAAATCAGTTCGTTTTTTATCGATAGATTAAAAGTTTATTGAACGTTGTGAAATACAGAAAAGTTGTTACCACTAAAATAAAAAGAAACTAGAACGCTGCTACTATGCAACTTATGATGTGTTATGGTTAATCTAAACTTTTTTATTTTCCCAACAAATCGAGCTAGCTCATTACATGTTGGTTGAAGTTGAACAAATGTGAGAATAATAACAAGAAAGTGTTATGGTTCTTTTGTCCAATATTGAATTGTTTAATAAAAACCGCAGGATCCATTTGACAATCAGCGTGACAGAAGCCGAATACTACTGTGTGTGTGTGTGTGTGTGTGCGTGTGTGTGTAAAACAAAACCTCTCTCTTTATTGGTGTGAAATTCATAAAAAGAAAGTTATCCGAAGTAGAATTTTCTTCTACAATGTTCAATAATCTGATAGTAATATGAATTTTTTCCGTAGGCAGGAACTTTATAATGATGAGAGAATTGATCCGCGATTAAGATCGTGGTCACACTACGAATTAATTGTGATTAGCTAATCAATATTAACCCTTTGTACCCGAGGACACTTTTATTATGGCTTCCGCTGAAATGCCCACTGCACTGAAATGCAAAATTTATCTTTTCATTTCAATCAAAGGTTAGGTTATTTATTGTCTTACATTAGAAAAAAATTTGTCTTTTGGGTTGATGATCCATTCTTTTTATATACCTGTCACATCAATGTCTCGTGGAAGGGACGGGTAGCTGTAAAAGGTAACGTTGTAGTATCCCTGTAATGTTTGGTGATTGATGATCACTTAACACAATCTTCAGGAAAATTCAAATGCCTGGTACTGGTTTTTATGTTTTTTTTAAATTTTAAATTATGTGTATATTTTTCTGTCTTCTTTCTTTTAATCAGGAATCTAACTAAGTGACAAGAAAAAACAAAGAAAAGTGGTCGAAAGAGAGTGCATAAAGAATGTGTGGCATTTAATCAATGATTTTTGCTTTTTTATCATTCAACGAAAAAAACTGAAATTACCTTTTCCTCTTTTTCTTCTGTGTTGAATGTCACGCGACTTTTGTGTCATAACTAGGAAGAAAGGGAGAGAGGAAAAGAAAAAACCTTTTGAATAGTGAATGAAGTGTCTTAAATACTATATTTATTTGTCCATAGTAGTAAAATAATTGGCGGTAAGTTAATGAAAAAACTGTATCCTTTTTCACAGAAAAATGGATGCACACATATTTCGAATGCCAAGATCATGCGCGCATAGTGCGATCGGTATCTTTGAATCGGCGCCTAGCTCTTCAGTATATGCAATTTTTATATAAATTTAGAAAAATATACCTAAATTTTAAACAGTACTTCTATTCCGACAGCGTGCATAACATATGTGTGTGAAATCGCAGTGTGCAATTTTGGCTTGTGATGCTGACATGTGCTGTGACTGGATAAAAAAGGGCTCAGAAAGTTCAGAAATATAGTTTCTATATGTTTTCAAGGGTGGTTTCTAATGGTGCAATTGAAAAAAACTTAAAATATTTTTTTCGAAGTTTTCCAGAGATCCTGGGACTCTGCAAAAACCAAGCAGTTAGTTTTTTAAAATTCGTTCTACTATTTAGATCAATGAAACACAATAAATAGCATCGAGTGCAGAAATTATTAATTAATAGCCATGAAAAGATAATAGAATAGAGACTGTGAAAAATTTATTAATTGACTTGAATAAACGATTTTATTTGGAGCAAAAACACTGAGAGGACCGTTATCCAAATTTGGTTGAACATTTTTTTGTTTTCAGATGTGGTGTTTTATGCGTCATCCGACGCAGTTTCACATGCTGATTGCGAATATACCGTTGGTTTTGGGTGAAAACGTTTTTTGGACAGAGAAAATTAGATTTTGTCTAAAAAAACTAAGGTTTTCCGGAAAACCTCTATCAAAGTCCAGAGAAAGAGTTGCGTGCACTAAAGATGCGGTATATATAGACGAAACCTTTGGTGCGATTTTGAACAGAATTAAAAGTCCGAAAAGGTTCGGAAACTCAATAAACTGAACACACCTGCTGGGAAAAGAAGTTAGATAAAATAGAGAGGAGAGGGAGTTGATTGCCCTAGAGAAATACAATTTGATTTAGTACTACTTGGTAAATCTGAATTGATTTTACAGTGATCTGTTTAGCTAGTATACTAGGATTCATTATTCATATTCATGCTCATATTCATGCTTTTACTACTGTCTCACTAAAGATTTGTTATATTAGAATCGTGACAAAAGTACGTGTATGTGTGTTCTTATAAATTATCTCTAATAGCTTATACTGATTACAGAGAATATTCCTTTGATTTCTGATTCTTCTTCTTTCTTGTTTTTTTGCGATGGATGTATGCATACAATGGAAGAACGGCGAATAAATTCTTAACATTCCATCATTCAGAAAAAACAACAAACAAATCATTTTTCTCGATTATATTCATTTTGAAAATCATCGAAATAAATAGCTGTGAGTAATAAAAACACTTTCCTGCTTTGACATTTCAACAGCTACTGTCTAACTATAGAACTTATATTCACTCTGCAGTTAACACCTTTCCATCTTCTCTCATTCTTTTATCAAAAAGAATTTTGGAACATCTCATATAGACAAAGCTGCTCATACCCCATAGATTCTGAGAGAGATAGTTATGTATACTGTGTTTGTTTCTTAATTAACATTTTCTTTTTGGTAGTGTAGTATGGTGAGCTAGCATTTCAGATTTTTTTCTACTATTTTCGATGTAGGAATTCGTACTGTTAGTTTAAAGTGCATATTTTCAACTTTGTTACTATATTTGACTTTAATTAACGTTGAAGAGGTTATAGTTGCAGCTTTCACTGAAAACTGATTTATCTTGATGAGATTTCTAAAATTGTTTTGTTCTATATTTATCATGTTTTTGTACAGATGTAAGTCATTGATAAGAATATTATTAATACAATACTACCTGTAATAAAGAAAAGTATGATTTATGACAAAGAAAAAATCTTTTTTTGTACATTTTCTTTTTCCTCTCTAACTAATTTCTTTCTTTGATGAATGAATCAGTAGAAGAGAACGTAAGACAAAGTAAATTTATTTAATATGAATATCTGTATGTCATATTCGAGAATAACAGAAAAACATACATTGAGGGGGAAAAGGAACTACTTGTTAGTTGATGTGCTATGTATTCTCGTCTCATCTTGAATTAGTAGAAATATTATCGGTTGTCCGTTGATCATACCACATGAAAAGATTAAGAGGGTGAGGACATTTATACGCGTAAATAAGTACTAATTAATGTTACGTGCAAGAAATTAAATTTTTTTTCGATAAAAGTAATGTTTATTTATTCATCTTGTTTACATTACATCTTTCTGTTTGATACTGTCTTAAATAATGTCTGTCCTAATAAACTCTTTTAGCTAAAAACGATAACCAAAAATAGAAGAATAATCACTAGTCCTAGACACCTTATTACGTCAGAAGATAAGTTAATTCAAACAATTTTTAATTAAATTCATGAACAAACAGAAATGACCAAACTAGCAAAAAAAATGTCGATACATTTCTACCGTTGAATGACCACATTTTTCATGATGCTTCCTTAGCTTACTGAACTTTCCTTGAAATAAATGTTCATTAATCGTTAACAATGTCGTTTTTGACCTACCTGTAGTTGCCAAACATTTTTATTTGACTGAGCCTTGAAACTGTTTTTATTACTGTGACTAAGAGATTGACACATCTTTTAGCGCAGTTGTCAAAATGATTATTATTTATTCCATGATCCTAAATTTTATATCAGATTTTGCCTCTATTACATAAAGAACGACTGATTGTAGAAAAGATTTGTAAACGTAGTATAGAAAATCGAGTGTTGTAGATATATCAATAAAAGTTTGTTTTCTTATTTTCGTTCATTAGGAAAGTTTGATAGTCGGATTTATATAGAAAAACGTATTTTACAAATTTTAGTTCTCTTTATTCTTGTTGGATTATTTAGTTTCATGCTTCAAGAAATAACCATCTAGTTCAATTCTTATTCAAGGTTAAACAAAATGAATTATAGAACAATAGAGAAACAATTAATTATCAAACTATTTTCTTGATTAGTTTTCATAAGTACAACCGTAACAAACTAATCTTTCTCATTTTGAACACAAAATCTAGTGAATCAAATTCATCAGAAGATTATATACCTAGATTCTATGGTCGTATAGATAGAATATTATCCACAATAGCAGCAGTAGCACTAAGACAAACCATTTATCGTCGATTTTCTACGCTTACTACTTAGCAGAGCTGGAACCGGTAGCGGTCCGTCTGGACAGGCACCGGAAAGGACCGGATCGGTTGAAAAAGTCAACCAGGCCGATAGAGACCGATATTTCACTGGTTGAAACTTTTGAAACATCTGCTCTTTTTACCCTATTTTTCGTCAAAAAACTAAAATTTCACGTCTTTTTTAGTCAGAATAAATAAGATGATGCTCAAGATCGATATTATTTTCATTACTTGTTTTAAGATTAAATGTTATAGACTCGTTCTGGTGAAGGTTCTCTCATATGTGCTCGCAAACTACTTCATTTCTGGGGAAACTTTTTTCTGAAAATCGATTTTCAAAAAACTTCGCCAGGTTTTCGCCGGTTTGAGTTATAATTCTAATCGGCCCGGTTTACCTTTTCTCAATCGGTTCCATCTCTGCTACTTAATTGTATTTGCAATTTGTGTGCACTCATTGTCTTCAAAAAATTTTTACATTCAGAAATACAACTATATTTTTTCTTTAAACTTTGAATTATTCACAGAAACATAACCATCACCAAAAGAATACAAAGACATGTTTCTTTTTTGTTCTTCTTTTAAAATATGTACCAAAGAACTGATAGTAGTGTTATTTTTATGCATGATGAGCGTGTAATAAATCCTCCCGAAAGTAAAAAATAGAATACGATTTTTTATTCTAATTTACTGATTCATTTGTTTCGATGTAATCATCTTCATAAGCATCTGAAAGTAGAAAACTTTTTCAAAGAATGATAACCTTTTTTTTATTTTCAATTTTAGGTAGTTGTTGTATTTTTTAATGCCTGTATTTCACTTGAAAAAGAAAAATGAAGAATATTGTTGTAAAATTCATACAATGGATGCTGAGTTACAATTCAATATTGAAGTAGAATATTTTGCTTGAAATTCGTACACAAATATAGTTTACTTCGAACTTCTTTTTTAATGTTTTTCATATAGGTATCGACAAAAGGCCTTGATTTATTTAATTTAGTATGTCAGACAATTGGTTTAAGAGAGCATTGGTATTTTGCATTAAAATATTTAGATACATCGAACGAATGGGCATGGCTTAATTTGAATAAAACAGTAAGTGATATACACTTGATTTTATTAAAACTTCATTTTTGCAAATATAAACTGCTTTATGTTAACAAAATAGAAAATAACAGCAAAAAATTTGATAGCTAAACTTTTTAATTTGATATCACTCTTCTTTCAAACTTAGTTCCGCCATTTAGATTGTAATTATAATTAAACTATTTTGTTGCTTTTTTGACAGATTTTATCTCAACCTGTTCAGATTCAACATCATCAACAACAACAACAGGCTATGTTATCTTCAGAACAAATTCAACAATCTCAACCTTCTCTCTCAACCGTCAGTCATAATGATCGTTCAATTCTTACAACGTCTCCATTAGTCAAATTACCTGCCTACACGGATTCTCTCGGATCAACGAATGTCTTCAATTCAAAATCACCACAACAACAAACATCAACAATGTCGAAAAATAAAACATCAACACCAATCTCAGCATCATCTCCGTCATTTTCATCTACACAACATGTATTACGTTCATCGCCGCTTCTTCCATGTCAATCGAATTCAACTCTCTCTCTACCATCATCTGTATTAAATATCACGGCTAATACAAAATCAACTGTCGTTAAAGGAACACTTGAATTATATTTTGTTATCAAATATTATACAGAAGATATTACGAATGAACTAATTCAAGATATTACCCGACACTTATTTTATTTACAAGTTAAACAAGATATTCTTAATATGGATATTTATACTCCTCCAGATACTGCTGCACATTTAGCTTCATTGTCCTTACAAGCAAAAGTATGTCTACTATTATAAACATTATAGAAAGTTGACAAAAAAAATTGCCTCGAGAGAAGTAAAAAGTGAACGAACTATTAATTCTCTTGAGATGAATAAATGTGTATAAATGGAATATTTTTTGTTTATAATTTATTTTTTTCTATTCTAGTTTGGTGATTATGAGAGTGTATCTATAAATTCATGTCATGAGAATAGACCTTCAACATCTGAATCGAACGATGTTAGTATTGTATTAGAAGAAGAAGCCTTATTGCCTCCAACTTGTTTTCAAAAAATAGAATTATCTAAACATGATTGGTTCGAAAGAATTATATTATTATGGAAAAACCATCAAGGTTTAACGAGGTATGATCTTTATAACTGATACATTTAAATTATAACTCTATTTATCTTTTTATTTCAGAGAAGAATCCGAATGTCAATATTTAAAACATGCCCAAGATTTAGATATGTTCGGTTTATCATTTTTTGAAATTAGTAAAATTCAAAATAAAAAAGAGTCGGATCTCTTATTGGGTATTGATTCATTAGGCATTCGGTTTTATAAAAAAAATAAACTAAGACCTAATGTCTTCTTTCCATGGTCTGATATTAAATATGTCACAGCAAATGATAAAAAAGTAAGAATTTTTGACTAAACTGCACTACACTGTAATTTTGAATTAATTTCCAGTTTACAGAAAATCGACTGAAAGATCGCCGAGGATTTTCTAGTTTATAGAAATTCTTCGACGAATTTCCAGCTTTCTAGGAAATGTTGATTTTCTACTTTATAGAAAATCGACTTGACTTTCTATACATTCGATTTTCTATAAAGGTGGAGAATCGCTAAGGATTTTCTATAAACTGGTAACATCCCCGGCTTTTTCTAGTTCCTACTTTTTTCATTCCCCGGATTTTCTAGTTTATAGAAAATCAATCTATAAATAATTTCCAAGAATCTGGAAATTCGATTTTGATTTTCTATAAACTAGAAAATCCGCGGTAGTTTTCTAAAAAGTGAAAATTGATCCAGAAATTTCTAGACCAAATTCATCTTGTTGTTTTGTAATCAGTGTATGTATAGGAGCGTCACATACAGACACTCATATTACACTTAAATCAACTTTCACAGTTTCTACTTTAGATCACAATTCTGCCCATGCCAGCAAGAATTTTGATTTAGGCAGAGATAGTAGTGGCACGAAGTTTTGGTAGAAAGGTCAGAAAATCGGAGACGTTTATCAGAAATTTCTCAAAAACATGAGTGGGGTCAACCCCCATCAGAGGTGCATAATCTTCCTCGTGCGCACCCGCGCGGGTGGGGAAATTTTTTGAAAAGTTGTTCTACTGGGGGAAATTTTTGAAAAGTACTATGCTGCGGAATTTTTTGAAAATTTTTGTGGGTGGGGAAATTTTTTATTTTTTGGAAGATTCTGCACCTCTGACCCCCATACAACCTGGTCGTGCCGCCACTCGATGCAGATCCGCCAAGGAATTTCCAGTTTATAGAAAATCAAAAAGGAATTTCTACTTTCTTGAAATTTATTTATGGAAATTCAAGGACGATTTTCTAGATTGTTGGAAATTCGATTTTCTATAAACTGGAAAATCTTCAGGAAATTCCCATAGATGCTCTTTGAAATTCGTCGAGTATTTTCCATAAATAATTTCCAACCTTACAGTGTATAAATACAACTGGTCAAATAGCAACATAGTTATTATATTGTAACAATATTTCAATCCATTATGGCCATTATTAAAGTCAAAAATTTCTACTAAATATTCTAACACTGTTCTGCGAATGTCACTGGGAGAAACATAAAATGATGCACATCAATTCGTAAGAATTTTGTCGCATATCATTAATCTGTATCAAGTTTGAAAAGACGGATAGAATAATTATTATTTGATTAACTTAAAAAATAGAGAAAGAGAATTTCCTTTTAGTTTTGTCTTTTGGTATTTTAGGTAATTCTGAACATGGCTGGTGATAAACATTCTAATTTTGCATTTTTTTCGAACAAATCATCTGTTAGTAAAGAGGTATCGTGGCTAACTGATTGTCTATTGAAATTATGACACTAAACTATATTGTGTTCCTATTTAGATATTGGAATTAGCTAATGGTAATCGTGAGTTGTACATGAGACGTCGTCGAGAACAACCCATTGAAATACAACAGATGAAATATTTCGAACAACAACAACAAAAAGTAATCATTTTTAGATATAACAGAAATATATATTGATCGAGTTCGACTAGATAATTGAAATAATGCGAAACTTCTCGTAATGTATAGTCGTTAAAATATAAATTGATATTTTATTGTAGGAAAAACTGAAAACGTATACCCGTGAACGAGAATTACGTTTGACAGCTGAAAAACAACGTCAAGAAATTGAAAGACAATTTATAGATTATCAGAAACAAACGAAACAAACGCAAGATACACTGGTGAGTATTCTACCGTGGACAACGATCAAAACATTTGGCCAAAAATGGAAAAAAATGCGCTTTTTACAAATTAAAAGAGGGATAGATACACTATGATTGATGGGCTATTCAATGACGAAAGAATTTTTGTTTGAACTCCTGACATTCGACCGAAAACACTTAGACACGGACATGTAAGAAAAAGTTTTTAAATAAAGTTTTGCAAATCTGAAAATGAAAGTCAATCAGAATATTAAAGTAGAAACGTCCGACTATCAATTGATGAAAACAGTTTTGTTTTAGACTTAAACCGCTGGAGAAAAGAATTTAGTTTCTGAGCTAACAATGTTTCTGAAGAGTTGTAGTATAATGACCGCCCCATTACTCCCACCTTCAGACTGACTCACAGAATATTCTCTGACTGACGTTCACAGAATATTCTCCTACATATCTTATATCTACGATATTAGCACAAAATAGCGCAAACGTTCTCGGACTTGGTTATTGGTTTTCCAGTAAAATCTCTTTTTTTCTGTTCAGGAATATTTCTGAACAAAAAAACAAGAATGAGAAGAAGAAAGAAGATTTTAAAAGACAAATTTTTCCGTTTTCAGATATATCAGTTTTAAAAAAAAGAATTCGATGAGATTCATAGAAAACGTAAAGGTTCCCAGAATACCAGGACACAGAGAAACATTCTATGAAAAATCTTCTTGCTCAGAAAAAGAATTCAAACACAAATAGTAAAACTCTATTAATATCAGAAAGCTTAGTGACTTTATTTAAAACCAAGGACTGGAGGTGGGACACTTAATCAGGATGCTGAATCCTAAAAAAAAGGCATTTTTAAATTTCTTTAACTAGTTCAATCATATAAGCGCGTCGGAAAACCTATAAAAACTGTTTACAAAACATTTTTTGGACGTTTTCCGAAAACTAAGTTTTCAAGAATCCAAATTTTCTAGAAAACCTAGATAAAAGTACTCAAAATGCTTTCTGATTAAGTCAACGAAATCAGAATATCAGAAAACATATAAAAGCTATAATTCAAAAGCGTTTTAGGACATTATCTATTATTTGGTTTTTCAGATCCACGAGGTAAACGCGAGAAAATCTAGAGGAAATGACTCTGAAACTTTTTTAAGGCTCCGTCAGAAAGAGCACACGTAAAAATCTATAAAAACTATATTATTAGCCATAAGGAGGCCAAATGTTGGTATCACAAGTCCAAATTGCCCATTGTGTATTCATCTATTCCTATCTACTGGAATGACTTTTATCTTTTTAATATCAGCAACGATATCAAGAAGCGGCTGAATTATTAGCTCGTAGAGCACAAATTAGTGACAAAGAAGCTCGTTTACAAGCAGAAAAAGCATTGGAAATTGAATCCGAATTAGAAAGATGTAAATATGAAATAACAAGGGTAGGCAGTTTAATTTATTATAGATTTATGTGAATAATCCATGAATTATATATTGTTAGAATGAAGAAGAAAAATTATTATTTGCTCGTCAAATAAATGAATGCGAACAAGTTATTTCGACGTTGGCCAACGATTCTCTTAAAAAGTAGGCATAGACTGATTTTGTTTACACACTTTACCTACTGATAGTTCACCTTATGTATAGTATTTCCCGTATCGTCGTGCGGAATATCATCTTTTATCAACAACTGTTGATCGAGGGTATGTTTAGAGGTTGACGCGAATACACTAACAAGCTTAGGGTTACAGTGGGATCAGTGCTTTGAATTAACTGTAAAGAAATACTATTTGTAAAAGTAAAATACGATTAAAAATGATTGAGTAGAAGTGGTTAGATTAAGAAGTTTAATAAAGTATAATACCACTGTAAAGATCATATTCCTATGACCAAGTTTATTTTCTTTCACAGCTGCTGCTATCATTATCAAGTGAAAAGAATTGATAGACTGTACAGCTAACAGAGATTCACACCATGTATATAAAGCACAAGAGATAAAACATATGTTTGCGTTTGAAAGAATAAGAAAAAAGGAGAACGTATTCCAGAATAAGTTAAATTTTTCTTTTTCTGTTCGAGAAAGAGATAAAATAAAATAAAATTTAAATTTCTTTTTTTCTTTTTTCTTATTCTTTCAAACGCAAACATATGTTTTGTCTCTTATGCTTTATATACATGGTGTGAATCTCTGTTAGCTGTACAGTCTATCAATTCTTTTCACTTGATAATGATAGCAGTAGCTGTGAAAGAAAATAAACTTGATCATAGGAATATGATCTTTACAATGGTATTATACTTTATTAAACTTTAAAATACGATTTCTCAATTAAATACGTGTGCGAGCCAAATATACACTTGTCTTCGAAACATGTTGATATATTTCTTTTTACAAACTTATTCGAATTTAATCGATTTCATCTGTTGTATATTTAAGCCGTAAAGAAGCTGAAGAATTAAAGCACGAAGTGAATAAATGGCGCATAGCTGAGCAAGCAGCACGTGAAAAATTAATTCAAGTAACACAATTAAGCCAAACAATGGCTACTAGCCAAGCATCCCAATCTGTTCAACATACAACAATAGCGAATCAAAATAACTTCAGACCACAACAAACTACGTCGCCTCCACCAGTACGTCGTATAAACTATCTTGTGGTTACTCGAACTCATCTTATTCTTCAATTTTTAGCAGTATCGTTCATCATGGGATCAAACTGTACCGAAATCAACAGATTCTAGTCAAGCTGATGAACAGTAGATATTTATACGAAAGACTGTTGAGAAATAATCTAACCATAGTTGTTAATTTGTTCTAGTGCTTATTTGATAGACAAACAAAATAAACACCAGCTTATACAACAACAATTATTGGATCTGAAAAATATCATTCAACAACGTAAAATCGAAGATAAGCAGTCGCCGTTGGATAAAGCGTATGAAGAAAACTTAGCTTATGGTGATAATAAGTATTCAACAATTCAAAAGGTATGTAAAACAATTATAAAATAATCACTTTTATTAGAAGAACGACTGCTTGAGAATTATCTATATTCGAAGGTCTCTACAATGGGCATTTTTCGCTTAGCAGATGGACGTCAGAATTTCTTGCTCATAAATTATTTTTTCATCAATAGTTATGATTGCGTAATGATCATCTATGACACTTTTGAAGAAAAAATCACGTTTTTTTCGAAAAATAATCTTGCAGGTTCACGGGAAAATTTTTGATGGATATTTTTTCGATTCAAAACTTATTGTGTTATACATGATTCAATGCAACTCAACGCGCTGATTTGAAATATCATCTTATTTTTTCTTACTAATGTGTTCTGGACTGAAAAAAATAGATTTTACGTGTAAAAACAAGGTATTTTGGAAAATCTATTGCGAGGCCTGGAAACATTTGTGCTATTTTGTGCTATGTGTATGCTTGTGGTATATGTAGACGAACATATTTACAGAAATTTGGCCTCATTCTGAGACTGCGACTAAAAGTGGCGACTTCACTATGATAAGCGTTTGGAAAAGCGATTGGTTCTGAAAATAATTTTTTTGCAAAGCAGAGATCCAAACGAGATAAGTTTTTCTATAAGTCGACAGCGTAGAGGGTTTAGATGCAGACTACATCTGGTTTCTATTTAAAGTGTTGTTGGTTTATAAAAAAATGAACATTTTCTTGAATATGATGCTTTTCAGGCTAATTTTTGTCTTAGGAATTTTCTAAAAAATTTTTGATTAATATTAATATTTTTTTAAATAGAGCATGATTAAGAGTATATGTGTCATTATTTAAATCTGAAACAGATTATTTTCGATTTTTTGCTAAATGTCTATCTGAGTACCCACGGTGTGACTTACTTCTTGGTCGAAATAGTTTAGCGAACTAAATAAAATGCTTTCATTCCTTTTCAGGCAAGATCTGGTACAGCTTCGAAGCGAATGGCAATGTTGCAAGATTTATAAAACCTTTTTATTCTATTCAACATCAACTAACCGAATTTTTCTACAATGTGCGCAAGTAAACATTTATTATAGGGTTTTTTTTGTTTACTCTTTTCTTATATGTTTTTCGAATAATTTTTATTTTTTATGTAAAGGCTACAAATGTGACAATGAAATATTTTATGAGAAACCGTGCATGGAATGATGTGTGTGTTTTTAGAGAATAATAGTAGATATTTCTCCTCTCTCAAGAGTAATTATAAACAGATTTATATTGCGAAGGATTCATATTAATTTTTATATTCGAAATAAAACACAGACTGGAGTGAATGAAATAATTGATGACATGATTTCCTTCCAGTCACTCTCACGTTCTACTTAATATCTCTAGTGGCAAGGATCAGACTGCATTATCGCAAAACTTTGTCTACGTAGGTTTTCAAGGCTCCACTTAATGCTTTTCGAAATCAGAATCCTTCAAAACGTTGCGTACCAAAAGGGTATCGTATTCAAATTAAGAATAAAAAAGTGAACTTTTTTTCTATGTATTTTTGCATTGCCTAAATTCGAGATGGCGCCACATCACGATTTTTCGTGGCCTAGAAATTACATCTTGAGAAAATTTCACTTAAAGTGAAAAATTAAAAAAATTTTTATTCTTAATTTGAATAAGACACCCTTTTGGTGCCCAGCGTTCTGAAGGATTCTGATCTCGAAAAACATTAAGTCAAGCCATGAAAACCTGCGTATAAAAAGTCGAATTTGCGGTAATGTAGCCCATGTTGTCAAAATCGTCCAAGTTTGGACGATTAATCACGATTTTCGAAAAAACAAACGATTAATCGCTATTTCGGCAAAAAATCGTCGATTTTTCGATTATTTGTGATTAATCGCGGTTAATCGGCCGTCTCCAACTAGTAAAAGTTTTGGTGACTTTTCTTGTTAATCAATCGCAATTAATGGGCGATTTCTCTGTCTTTTTGTCATCATCGTTTTGTTTGGCATCAGAAGAAATATATAAAAAACACGAATTTCAGTGGCAGTTTTATTCTTTTAGATTATCACTTTCCTTTTTAGATCAATTGTTTCATTAGACACGCCTGGAGTGTTCTCTAAACTGGCGACAACTTAAGTAAACACAGTTAGTGTTTTTAATTGATCCATCACATGGGATAGAATATACCTATAGATATTACTGTTATCTGTACAAAACGTCACCTGCAATACAATCCTTTGAATCGCTTTTAAATGAAAATATATAAAAGGCGCTACAAACAGACTAGACTGCTTTTCCTGTTATGTCACCAAACAAAATTTCTCGACTCAACCATTTCTAAAGTGTATCCATATGTATCTCTATTTGTTTCGTTATATTTAAGATATAAAGAATTTATAAAGAAAATTATAAGAAAAATATAAAGAAAATTTAGCTGATAAATTGAAACGTCTGGCTTACGAGGGAACCGCCCCAGGTGTTCGGCTCCGATTTCGTTCGTTCATACAGCATTCGATAGAGGACCTCGAGTAGGCAAAAAGGCTAAAAGGATTTGGGCGGAGGGCCCTTTAAGACCCGGTTTTCTGGAAAACCAGTTTTTCAGAAACTCTAAAAAGATAACCAGCACCTTTCTTGA